TGTTACCTCAAGATTCGACTCTGTAAAGTCCACGAGCCATCAATATAGTGAGCCGTAACCGCCATATACCCTTTTTTTTGGTTGCTTGAAGTCCACATATCTGTGGTAATTGCCACTCTCCCTTCATGGTTATCTAACATCTTCATAGCACATTTTTTCTCAAAATCATAAACTTTCAATACCTCCTTCTTGATTGTGTTTCGAGTAGGAACTTTAAACAATGGTTGGAGAGAAACAAAGACTCTTCTAAGACCAATGTGATCCACAATTGATAGTGGATAATCATGCATAATAATAGCTTCAACAATCAACTTTTTCACATGTTCTGGATCATAAGTTCCAATTCCCAACTCTTGCTTTCCTTCTGAGATAGTCGGTAGGAGAAATGGTTGTCCTTTGTCATGGTTTCTAGTCTTGATCTTTTTTTGAATACAACTCAACAGATATCCTTTCAAGTGATTTGTTCCATTCTTTGAAGTGCCACTAAGTTGTTTTTTACACCAGATGCATTCAGCCTTATCTTTTCCATTCACTTTCATCTTTTTAAATTCTTGCCACACATTACTTCTAAGTTTCTTTGATGCAGGTTCTAAAATTGTATCAATTTCTTCTTGTTGCCCAATATCAGGTTCAGGTGTCGGATTCGGATTAGAAGATACCTCCTGAGTTGGACATGTACTTTCTTGTGTAGGATTAGATGCTCCTTCTGGTTCCGGGGTTGTGTTCACTTGATCCATTTTACCTACTACAAACAACAAGAAATTTCATAAACAATTGTATAAAAGAAAATGAGACTTTAAGAAGGCACGAAAAAACATACCACCACAAGATTCATAATCGCAAACACCTTAACATTCATACAAAGTTTAAAAAAGAAATTAAAATGATAAAAACTATTATTGATAAAAGCTATTATTAAAAGTAATGTTTTTACACGAGACAACATGGTTTTGTTTCAAATATGAAGTTATATCTAACATGCCTCAAGCTTTTCTCATCGGTATTGCTCCTGGTTTCAACAATCAATGGGGGTATCTAGACTCTCGTGCTTCACATCATGCGACACCAGATGTGTCTAATCTCTTTTGGGACCATGTTTTTATTATTGCTGCATTTCTCATTAATCGTCTCCCCACCCTTGTTTTGAATAATTTGTCACCTTTCTATGTTTTACTGAACAAGCATCCTGATTATAAAGCTTTAAAAATCTTTGGTTGTGCTTGTTTCAATTTCCTACAACTTTATCATGGCACTAAGCTAGCCTATAGGTCCCAAGAATGTGTGTTTCTTGGTTATTTTGCCTCCTATAAGGGCTATCAATGTCTTATTCCTAGTGGTCATATTTACATTTCAAACGCGCGAGCATATATGATGAGCATATATGATGAGCAACTTAAACAAGAAAGCAAATATGCTACCAGTGGTTTAACTTATCAAAACATGCAAGGCGCGAGCATATATGATGAGCAACTTAAACAAAGTGCTTCAGAATCTGAAGAACTTTAATAACATAAACTCCATTCTATTCTATCTCAACCAATTAGTCATATAACGATTTTAATATGTCAAATATACCATGCAAAGCAACATTAAAAGATCTGTACATTCATGCATAAGATAGATATAAAGAGATTCTTCATAAACCTTACCGAAATGTCACTTGTTGGAGTATCAGGCTGCTCCTAAAACACAATCAACAGTTCTGTCAGCCTAAATATTAGAAATGGTGTTAGAAAGTGGCCTAAGAGTTATATACATAGTTTATATATTGCTTGTAAATGGTGCTAGAAGGAGGCGTAAGAGTTATCATAGTTCATGCATTGCTTGTAAATGGTTCTAGAAGGATGCCTAAGATTTATCATAATTGATGCATTGCTGTGAGTCGAGCTTTGAGTAATTTATTAGCATCGAATAGGTGCTTTGTAAGGACAAAATTGTAAGACTCACATAGCACTCCAAATTGATTAGTCCCTTCTAAGAAATCTCAAATAACAGTAGCAAGTAAAATAGATGAAAAGCAACAAAGTACTAGTAGTACATAAAACATATTCTCATTCTAATAATAATAACTTGAAATACAAGTAATAGAATTAAATTACATGAATAATGTAACATATATAAAACCTAAGCCGAAGTCATTCGTTCTCCTTAGCCAAGCAAGTAAAAAAGCCAGTTGACTAAGTTCCATAGATATACAACATATTTGACATAACAATAAATAACTTAAAACCTAACATAGAACAAGAAGCAGCACTACAATTTTCAAAAACTCAAATTGTAGTAGCCACCACCACTAAAACCCTATCATCTTATCTTTCAAATAGAATCCCAATCAATCTCATAAGAAGGAAACTTGTGCAACTTAAGCTGCTCACAACAATTTTCCCACTGTGGCTCCCCAAAATCACCAAAAGTAAGATCAGAAAGAGGAGAAGAATCATCAGACCCTTCACTTGAACACAAAGAGCTTTCAACAACAACTTTCTTGTTATCAGCAACAAGACTGGGTTGAACCTCTTTTTTCAAATCTTTCTTAGAACCTTTCACTTTTTTCTCCACTTTCCCTGATTTCTTGGCATCATCACTGCCTAAACTCTCACAAATAGCATCAAGTTTAGCATCAATAGACGAATGCAGAGTCTTAAACTCCCCAAGAAAACCTTGTTGGTCCTTCATGTTGGGGAAATTAAGCCTGGCGAAATCACCTCTTAATCTATAAGCAGCTCTATCATAAGCTAAAGCAGCTTCTTCAGCAGTATCAAAAGTCCCAAGCCAGAGCCTTGTTCTGTTCTTGGGCAGTCTTATCTCAGCAACCCATTTCCCCCAATGTCTCTGCCTTACACCTCTGTAAAGCTTCGTCGGCTTCGGAGGTGCACCAGGCTGTTTCATTGGGACGGGCTTAGGCCCAAGGAAACTCAAATTTGAATTGATTTGTTGAGACTGAAACTGAATCTGGGTTTGGATCTGATTGATTTGAGATGAGGTTAAGTTGTTTAGCCCAATTACAAAATTTGGCTGTGGTTGTTGTTCATAGCAAATGAATGTTGTAAACATGCATGGACCAGTTCCTAGTAAATATTTCATGGACTAGTTCAAACATATCTTTAGATTCAAAAGGATATAAAGAGAAACGTTTACTCATAAGCAAATATACTAAAATCAACATGAACAATTTATCAGATGATTTATTAATAGAGATTTGGAGTCGTGTTCCATACAAAACAGTTGTGAGAGGCAAATCCATCTCAAAGCGATTCTTAGCTTTAATCTCACAACCTCAATTCATTGAACGATTCATTCTTCATCACCATACTATATTTCAACAAATGAAAGATGGGGAAATCAAGAAATGGTACTTAAATTTCATCTCAAACCGTAAACTTCTAATCTCTTTCTCCCCTAACCTCAATCTTTCAACCCCTTAAAACCATGAATGGAAACAAACAAATTACCTTAAAATTGATGTTTGAGTTAGAACCAAGGACAAGTTCTGAATATAAGCTTTATATTCATGTACCTTTGGAGAATGGCGAGAAGAGGATTGTATGAAGAAGATGACGGAGGAGTTTGTAGGCGCCAGTGAAGAGGCGAAGGAGACGGAGAAACGAACTAACGAAGGTGACGGTCTGACGGAGGTGACGAAGGTGACGAAGGTGACGATGGCGGTGGCCGGTGGGTGAACACTGAACTGAAGTGAGCACGCGTGATGGTAATGTACTGAACAATATAAACCCTACATTTTATTTTTAATTATTGAAATATATATATATATATATATATATATATATATATATATATATATATATATATATATATATTTAGGGATAGTTTTGTAATTTAACATATAAGCGGGTGTGGTTTCGGGTTTCGGGTGCGGGTTTAAGCTATCCCAAACCCACACCCGAAATATCGGGTGGCACCCGAACCCGAACCCAAACCCAGTCAATTCGGGTTTCACCCGTTGACTCGGGTGCGGGTGCGGGTGGGGCCCGCGGGTTTGGGTCTGCTTGCCATCCCTAATTTCATCTGATTAATTAGTTTTAAATAAATCATATTATGTTATATTATGTAGTACTTTGATGAATACAAGTCTTCTACTTACTTGAAAGATCAATTGGACGAAATTAAGGAGGATTGATGTCAATACTTTATTGATATGAGAATTTTATGAGATATTGTGACACTTTCATTAATGAGAATTTTGAGTATATATAAGTTTGAGTTTTGATGAGATACTATGTCGTCATTAGTGTACTAAATTGTGTTGCAATGTTTTTGTTGTTATGTGGAAGGTAAGTTATGATGGTATTGAGTTTAAATTTAAATAAAGTTTTGTTTGTATCATGGTATGAATTGGGGAGTTTTTAATGGCGGCACTACGCCAAAAATAAGTTACGAAAGCGTTTTTTTTGCCTTTAAAAGCGCTTAAAAGCGCTTTCTAAGGTGGCGCTGCTATAGGTTTTAGCAACGCTTTTTGTTTAATGAGAAGCGCTTTCATAGGTCTACCTAAGGCAGCGCTTTTTTCTGGAAAAGCGCTCTCATAAGTTTTCTTTTAGCAGCGCTTTTTTCTGGAAAAGCGTTGTCTTAGGTAGGCTTTTAGCAACGCTTTTTTCTGGAAAAGCGCTTTCATAGGTGGTCTTTTAGCAGCGCTTTTTCCTGGAAAAACGATGTCATATGTTTACCTTAGAAAACGCTTTTTGTGAAAAAGCGCTTTCATAGGTTACCTAAGGCAGCGTTTTTCTTGATACAAAAAAAGACTGATTTTAATTATATGGATGCAAATAAAATAGGATCATCTATTGGGTTATAAATAGAGTTGTCCAATTAGAAACATTAAAACTGAACAAAACCAAAAAATAAAGAAAAAAAGGTGACAATGTGATGCTGTAATTAAAGGGTAAAATCAGCTATTCATAGTTTTCTTAAACAAATATTCCAAATTATACAATTATAAAATACAAATTTTACATCGTCATTACTGAAAAAATCACTAAACATGTCTACCGAAGACTATCCCAAGCCTGCCATATGAAATCAGTTTCTTCACAACAACAATAAAATATAATCCATAAGGAATATGACTTAAGAATTGATGAGTAGTTTACTTGACCAGGATAATAGAATGGTAACTCGTACTGCAAGAAACATGAAACAATTAAATAAAAGTTAGCACAAGAATATCTTTACTTTCTAATATTCTAATGAAACACACATAAAAAAATCGCAATCCTACCATGCCCTCTTTGTAGTCCTTGCCTCTTTTCCTCCTACCAGGGTAATAATCTTGGTCTAGCTGTCACATTCATATCAAAGTTAGCATTAACAATCCACATAAACCAAAGCAAAAAAAAATCATGAATGCTAGTTGCATTTTCCAGACCCTAACATATACTGTGGCCTGAATACTGCCCAACTGTCAAAAGTTTCTTCAATGTATTTCTCAACTCCAACATGACCAGCATCTGCTTTTACAGCATCCTGCTCCACAGTGGTTTTCAAACTTTAGACTGTAACAATTGTTATCAGCATAGTGATTTTAGAAAAGCGATATAAGGAATATTTAACACACCCCTTCAACATGAGGAGGTTCATCCGTTGGTTTGTAGATTCCGGCACTACTGATGAACAAGAATTGCTTGGCACCTGCACTCTTGGCCCAATCTATCACCAGCCTACAAGGAACGATCGAGATTAAAATGTCTGGCTTAGAGATAACAATTACAATGTCTGAAAAGTTTATGTTTCTTTAACAGTATTGCAGTATGTTGTTGGCAATATGAAACATTGGCATAACAAACATTAACACACGAGAATTCTAAACTTATGTTTGTGTTCTGTAAGTGTCGAACACCAGACATGTCTTTGATCTAAGAGTTGGTGCCATGCATGACATAACAAGATAACAAGATAACAAGTGAAGCAATGAACACAAGTTAACAAGAATTGATACAACGAACCTCGAAGCATCAAGATCCTTGCCATTGTTGTCCAAAACCACATCAAATGCTTCCCCTCCTACAACACTTCCTACATCTGCAGGACTCCCCCATACTGTACTGCCTCCAGCACTCACAATTTCCTGAATATTTTCAAAACAACATTGTTGAGCTTGAAAAGAATAATTCTTTCAGAAACAGTGTGAGAATAAGATTAAAGATCATTAACTGAGAATCTATTAAAAGGATATTTCTTCATCTTATCTGAGCTTTCATCTCCAACGGCTCCAGAATCTCTCCTTTTATTTCAAACTGCTTCGCCAAATACTCCTCTTCCGTCAATCCCATTTCTTCAATTTTCTTCTTACGGTACCTAGGGTTCAACATTCTGAACGCTTCGATGGACTCCGGCGAACTGAGAGAAACCTCTTCACCTTCGTTGAGACTGTGACGCACGAATTGGGCTTCGGGAGTGAGGATTTCATCCCAGGGAGCACAGCCGCGTTTGATCCAGTTGCGCTTTCGAGCTTCATCCTTAGATTCCTTGCTATTGGGGCCGAAGGTCTGGAGGAAGGTCTCGTCGACGGGGAACTCGTCGGAGGAGAAGGACTTTGCAACGGTGGAGGGTGGTGGTTTTCGGAAGAGTAGAGGCGGAGGACTACAATGGAAGTGGAAAAGGGGAAAGGGAGGGTTTAAGGGTTTAGGAAAAGTGAAGAGATAAGAATTGGGAAAGACTTGCATTGTTACAATGCTCACACCACCTTGTGTTTTTATATTTATTATAAAACTACATACGAAAGTGCTTTTAAAAGCGCTTTCTAAAGGTCATCTATAACAGCGCTTTTACATCAAAAAGCGCTTTCGTAGCATATCCTATAGCAGCGCTTTTAAAAGGGCTTTCTAAAGGCCAGCTTTAGCAGCGCTTTGGAAAAGCGCTTTCTAAGGCTGACCTTTAGCAGCGCTTTTGAAAAGAGCTTTCTTAAGGTACCCTCTGAAAGGCCAGCTTTAGCAGCGCTTCCCAAAAAGCGCTTTCTTAGGGTGACCTTTAGAAGCACTTTTGAAAAGCGCTTTCTTAAGGCACCCTTTGAAAGCGTTTTTTTAAGCGAATTTTTTTAAAATCTACAGCAGCGCTTTCTTTTATGTGCTGCTAAAACTTATTTTTGGCGTAGTGCGGATTATAACGGATTCTTGATTTGTTTTTGTTACATTGAATTGTGTTAATAAATAATAGTTATAAGATTTAAGTGTTATATAGCTTGGTTCTGATATGCCTTTGTTGGTTTTGTTTCAGGTAGGTGCATATGTAGAAGATATAGAGATGACAAATTCATTTAGGATTCTTCATTGTTGTTGTTTATAGAGAAGATAGTAGAGAAGATAGCAGCTCTAGAAGATAGTAATATATATATATATATATATATATATATATATATATATATATATATATATATATATATATATATATATATATATATATATATATATATATATATATATTCAAGTTGTGTCAAATTTATGTATATATAAATTATTGGATTAAAGTTGTATATATAAATATGTAAATTTGGTGCATACTTATTGGATTGAAGTTGCTAATTTATGAAATCTGGTGCAAATTTGAAAGACAATGCTTATTTTAAGTGATTATTTGTAGAGAGCCCTTAAAATATAAGTTATATATATTAAAAAATTTGTGAACATTAGACAGCGCTTTAAACAAAAAAAAGTGTTGCTTATAGTGGGGAATAGAAAGCGCTGCCTAAAGGGGTGCATTAGAAAGCGCTTCTAAAGTAAAAAGTGTTGTCTAAAACGGACTTTAGAGAGTGTTTTTAAAGAAAGTGGTGCCTAAAACAATAAAAAAACTAAACAAAAATATACATTACACAACGCTTATAAAAACGCTGTCTAAAGTGAAATTGTTGTCTAAAAGGGTGTTTTAGAAAGCGCTTCTGATGTAAACAGCACTGCCTATTAGGGTCTTTAGAGAGCGCTTATTGAATAAAGCGCCTCCTAAAGGCTACAATAAACAGTACTTTTAAATTGATAAAAAAACGTTGTCTTTACTTACAGCAACGCATGAATAGACAACACTTTAAAGCACTGTCTTAGCAAAAAAGCACTGTCTATGTCTATTTTCTCATATGACATAGTGCGTCTCCTCTTTCCTGTGAATTATTTTTGTTTGAAACATGAGTATTTTTGTTAATAATGGAGAAATATGGTTATTCTGATATTTTAAATAAAAACTTTATTATTTTTAAAAAATTATATTATTTAACACAATATATGTGTTCAGATTAATAATAGTGATAAATGTTCCAACCATAATCCTTAGAAATAGGTTTCCAAGGCATTGCGTGTTTTGTAAAAAAATTACTAGATTGAAAGTTTGAGTGTTTTTTTCTTGTAAAGTAGCATTAGTCTAAATTCTAAAGTAATTTGAAACGTTTTTGTTAGGGTTACTTAAACGGGTGTGGTTATTCGGAACGTCCATTTTACTTAAATTATTTTAAAGACTTGTTAAGGTTTTAGATCTATATTATCTAATATATATCTTTTGCTTTATCCTTTTTTTAACTACGAGTATTAACAATAATTTTTACTATTTTTTATTTTTAGGGATGTAAAGTACATGTTTGCCTCATTCTCATTTTTTAGAGAATATATTAAAATTTTAAGTTTGTATCCTCAATTATATCTATCCTATTCTGTTCTCGTCTTTTCGATTGATTTTTATTGAATTAATTGAAACGGAACAGACGTATCTATTTATCACCTGTCATTTTTATACCGGAATCTATATCATTATTAGTGATCGGCAAACACATTTAAAAAATAAAAAGGTCATACCAAAGCCCACGAGGCTTGCTTCATGATCCAATGATATAAACACCTTGATGAGCCCACGCCAGATGTTGATTCACACCCTCTTGTTATATTTTCAATTGTCCCTACAAACACAAATGCACTCAACCTCAACCAACCATGGAACCCACTACTTTTTATGATAGAAAAATAAGAAAAAAGGAAAAGGTTTGGAGAGAATAGATATGATTACTTCTTAGGGATCATTTTACTCAATTTTCATTCAATAATTGTTCCAAATGGAAACCCTCCCAACTACATCATCATGCAACTCATATAACCAAACAATGCTTTTTCTCTAATTAAATTAAAGCATCAATATCTGTGATGTTAACACGAGTAAAAAAAACAGTGCATTATGTGGATAGAGATTTTCTTATCCTTTTCTTTCTTTTTTTTGTCTATTTGTCTCTTACTTTTTTTTCTCGAAATATAAAGTTTTGAACTTCCTTTATTCTTTCTCCTTTTTTTTTCTCTTCTTTTTTTCTTCAATAATAAAATTATTGTAGTAGAATTAAAGCTAATAGAGGGTGTGAAATGGGGGCTAATTTTAAAGTGAGGATGCCATGATGAAGAAGGTAATGAAGTACTTGAGGGTATGGGAAAAATGGTCCCCCTACCCTAGCCATGATGCAAATAACACCACTAGCAAGGATTACATTTTTCTACTTTAACTAGAGAATCATATAATACTCTTCTCCATCTTTATCATTTTAAAAATTGGAAAAGTTTCAGAGAAATTCTCAATATCGATTTTAAAAAGATAATGAAAAATTAGGGCGCATCTTGAAATTTTATCTATAATTTAATTTATGAATTTTTTTATTTTTATATAAAGTAGAAATTATAGATAAATTCGCTGGTAAAATCAACATACACTTTCTTCTTTTTAAAACAAAAAAATTATAGATAAATCCACAAATAAAAATAAATAAAATGTGCAAATAAAATTGCAAGTAAAATAATCATCCACTTTGAAAGGATGCTTTGAAACTGGCTCCTTTTTAGGCAAAAAAAAAAATATATCGCAAGTAAATGTGAAAATAATAATATAAAATCGCTAATAAAATTACAAGTGAATCCAAAAACTTTCTCTTTTTTTTTTACAACAAAAACTTTCTCTTAAAAAGGGATAAAATTAATTTTTATGGCATCCTTAAAATATATATAGGATATATTGAAAATCTTTCATTAGTAAAAATGAACCATTCATATATTTAAATAATTACAATTCAATATTCAAAAATTATTTGAGAAAAAAACATCAAATTCTAATGTTATTTTGAATGAATATAAACTATTCGAAACCATAATAGGCTCGTGTAACATGATAAAAATTAATTTAACTTATGTTTGATTGTGTTCATATTCGTTAACGAATTGTTTTCTAAGGAACATTCAGCTAAACCTAAAATTATATACAATTTAATTATTTTTAGGTGTAAGTAATGCCCTAACAAAATCTTTAAATAATATCAAATAAAATTTATTTATTTTAGTCATTCTTTCCCACATCTAATGCTTTAGATTTGTTAGAAGTATTTCATATTAGAAGTAGTGTTCTAACTCTAAAGCAGAAGTTTGAGATTGTTGTTGTTGTTCCAAAAGTTGTGCTGCTTAACTTCTGAAGCGATTGTTCTAGAAGTGATGTTTAGCTTCTGGATAGTAGTAATAGATTGTTATGCCTACATGGCAGTTAGATTTGTTAGCATTTTAGCTTTGCCTACGTGACATGTTTCATTGGTGTATTTAAACTCCTTTGTGTAACTGATTTACTAGTAGAGTGTGAATTTACAAGTTTTTCACAATAGAGTTTCTCTCCCCATAAGTTTGTTACAATCATTCTCTCTCTCTCTCTCTCTCTCTCTCTCTCTCTCTCTCTCTCTCTCTCTCTCTCTCTCTCTCTCTCTCTCTCTCTCTCTCTCTCTCTCTCTCTCTCTCTCTCTCTCTTTATTTCTCTCTCTTCTTCAATCTTTATCTTCACCTTCAACCTTGTGCTCCAACATTTGATATCTAGAGCTCCAGTTCGATTCACAAGGAAACACGAGTGTACGTGAGGCGTGTGTAATTGATTTTGTTGCTTGAATTCACGATCGAAATCATAATAGAATTGTATTTCTTGATTTTGCGGGATCATGAAACACAAGTGTTTGGTGAGATCTGAGATATGTTTGAGTTTTAATGCACATGAACGAAGATGAATGGTAGAAACAATTTGACTATAAAGCTTCTGGTGTTTGATAGAAAGAATTGGAATCAATGGATGATTCAAATGCATGTGTCGTTAGGTGCGTAAGACGTTCTTGATCTCGTCACTGAAGGTTACATTCCGATGGCAGCGGATGCGATGGAGGAACGAAGAAACGCGCAAAGAGATACGAGGAAGAAAGATCAAAAAGCGTTGTTCTACATCCATCAATGTATGGATGCGAACATGTTTGAGAAAATCATTGATTCGACGACGGAGAAGGCTACGTGGGATATACTGACATGGTGGTATGGTGGCGGTGTGCCAGTGAAGAAGATAAAATTCAATCTCTATGTAAGCAGTATGAGAATTTCAACATGAAGAACAATGAGAAGATACCTGATTACATCTCTAGGGTACTTTTGATCACAAATGAGATGAAATTTTATGGAGACACTCTGTCTGAACAAGTAATCATTGAGAAGGTATTGAGATATATTACTCCCCAATTTTATTACATTGTTGTATCAATTAAACATTCTAAGAATCTGAGAACCATGATAACTGAAGAAATACAAAGTATTCTAGAGGCACAAGAGTTGTGTCTGACTGAGAAAACTCTGAAAGAGAGGTAGAGTAGGCTCTAAAAACTTCATTTGTCAAGAAGGACCAGAAGCAGTATTTGTCA